GGCAAATTTTTTTAATTCGTACTGATCATTCTAGCTTGAAGCACTTACTGGAGCAACATTTAAGGACTTCTCCCTAACAACATTGGCTCAGTAAGTTGATGTAGGGGTGGGATCGGTCCAGTCTGGGTCGGGTTTTTGCTAAACCTGGGTCGGGTTTTTGCTAAACCTGGAAATTACCCGTAAAGTCTCGGGTTATGAAAATTATGGATCGGAACAAAGCCCATTATATTCGGTCCTAGTCGGGTTTTTTGTAGCTCGGGTTCAGTCCGGGTTCGGGCTGAGCCGGTTAAAGCTCGAATGTCAAACCATCTAATTGCCTATTTATCTTTTAAAACCTATTTTCAAATAGAATTAATCAAAAGTACAAATCGCATATAATAACACAAATATTAGTCTTCAAAATCACCAACAATTCAAATCCAAAGAACATAATTATCATAATAGTTTGTTTAAGATGCATATAAATAAATAAAATATGTTTCTAAAAATGTTACAAAATTAAATTTATGGATAAAAATGTGACTATAGTTACGATAAATATATTTTCATGGTCATTATGGTAAAAAAATTGAACATATTTGTAGACACTAAATGTTACTAAGTCATTTTTTCATCCACCGTGATTATAATCATATATCAAGAATCAATTTATAAATCATATTAGTATATTATATTGATTTTATATTAAAACTAATTTTTTCGGGTTTTTATCGGTCTGGGCCGGGTTATAGATTTTAGGGTCCGTTAATGACCCCGAAATTTCGGGTTCCATCCGGGTTTTTTTATTCGGGCCGGTTAAAAAGAAAAAATCCAGACCGAGATCATAATTCGGGCGGGCCAGGGTCGATTTCCGGGTTTCGGGCCGGTTTTCCCACCCCTAAGTTGATGGGGTATAATTTCCGGGTAGAATACAAACCTGGTCTTTACAACACGGTTGCAGATGCCTTATCTCGTCGTGACTAGTCTTAGCCTCACATAGCTACGTTGTTTATTTCTTATACAACATTGCTTGATGATATCCGTAAGGAACAAGCTACCTCGGCCGAAATTGGAGCTCTTTGATGGCAACTTGATAGAGGTGCATTGGGAACAGAGTGGGCATATTGAGATGGGTTGCTATTTTCCAATATAAAGTGTACTTACTTCCATCCTTTACTCTAGTTCCAACTATAGTCAATTCGTTCCACTCCATGGACCATGAAATAGTCCTAAGACGTTACAGAGGGTGCGTTGAGAATTTTATTGGGCTCGCATGAAAAAGATCATCACTGACCAAGTACCAGATTGCCAAGTGTGTCAGCAAGACGTTACAAAGGGGGGTGCGTCGAGAATTTTATTGGGCTCGCATGAAAAAGATCATCACTGACCAAGTACCGGATTGCCAAGTGTGTCAACAACACAAATGGCTAAACCTTCAGCCTGCAAGTTTGTTGTCGTCTCTACCCATTCCTAATCACATTTGGGCATATAAATACATGAATTCATCGAAGGATTGCTCATAGTTTGGAAAAAATAAGTTGTTTTGTGGTTGTGCATCGACTGTCTAAGGCTGCTCATTTGGTTGCACTAGTACATCCGTTTACAGCTGTTTCAGTGGCAACAGTCTTCTCTAAAAAAATCGTCTCCATGGCCTTCTAGAATCTATCGTCTCTGATCGAGATAAAGTTTTTGGGAGTTCCTTTTGGTGTTAATTATTCTGTCTTTATGGATCCCAACTTCTATTTTTTTCAGCCTACCACCTTGCAAACAGATAGTTGGACCATCTGGTTGTTGAATCGCACCTTGCAAATGTTCCTATGTTGTGCTACCGATGACTGTACCAGATATTAGGTTCGTTGGCTTCCATGGGTTGAGTATTGCTACAACACATCTTTCATACATCTTTAGGTGACTAGCGTCATTCACGCGCAATGCGCGAGAGCCAATGCCCAACAATACAATTTGATCATTAACATTGCTCAACAATAATTTATATTAGAAAGACCACATTTCCCATTAGACGATATAGTCACGACTCTTCTCATATCTTAAGTTTAGCATAACTTGAATCATGTGTCACCCCATGAAAATATCTTGATATTCTTGTCAACTGCTCATTGTTATGGAATATGAAGTTGTAGTCACTAGAAATAATAAACATCTTCCTTTGACATTCCCTATAATTATAATAAAGAGTACTTTTTTTAATTAATTCAATCGCTCTAAATGTTTGAGCCAAAAACAATTAAGTATGAAATATTTTAATAACACATCATATATTATTAGTTTAGGCATTTCAAGCATAAGTTTATTAGTTTTTAGTATCAATTTTTTTATGATATATGACTTCATTTTTTGCACGTCAATAGAACTTTATGAGTTTTATGTGTCAATCATTATTTAAAGGCTATAGGGTCAAAAATGCCCTTATACTCGTTCGAAATGCTCAATTTACCTCTGAACTAAAAAATGTTTCAACTGGCACCCTGAACTCTATATAAACATTCAAATTTTACTTTTTGCATGTCATGATCCTATCATTGCCACGTCATCTGGTAAATTGCCAACTGTACATCTGACGTGACAACTTAAGGGGTCAAATAAGCTCCTGAATCCGACCGAATTGTTCAATTTACCCCCTCAATTTAGGAGGTCAAAATTATTTTTTATTTCTATTTTTTCGTAATTTTGACGCTTTTACGGGTTGAGGGGGTGAATTGAACGATTTGGTAAGGTTCAGGGGCTTATTTGACTCCTTAAGTTGCCACATCATGTGCACAATTGACACCCTACCTGGTGATGTGGCGATGATCGATCATAACTTGCAAAAAGTGAAATTTGAATCCTTTTATCGAGTTCAAAGTGCGAATTAGAGTTTTTTTTAGTTCATGAGGCAAATTGAACAATCCAGAAGTATACAGAGGTCTATTTGACCATTTAGCCTTATTTAAAACACTAGTTTTCAAGCCCGTGCGATGCACGGGCAGTACATAATTTAGTTAATTACAAAATTGATTTTTTTCAGAATCATATACGAAGTATAATTTAGAACTCATTTGGTAACCACATTTTTTGGGTTATCAGGTTTATCAGTCAACTTTTTCATCAAACACGTAAATTTTGATTTTGCGCATTGAATTGTGTAATAATAAAAAAACGTAGGGTTAAAGTTACTTTTCTGGATGTATAGGTTGAAGTTATTGTAGAAAACCATTTTATCTATTTTCATATAATTTTTCCTTTATTTAATTAATAAAATATATTTTAAATATAATTTTTACATAAATCACAAAAATCGGCCAATGCAGTCACTTCAGCCAGAACTTCATAAATTTCAGCAGAATCAGCCGATGTAGCTGATTTTGATGTTACCAAACGGGCTCTTAATGTGATGCAAAAGCAAAAGAAACTTGGTCTAATATAAAGTTGTTTGATAATACTAAAATTAGTTGAATCGTTTGATTCTACTGTAATGAATTAAATCTAACTGATTAGACTGAATTGACTGAATCTCCCGAATTATGAAAAATAAAATAAAATATATGGAGTACTACGTATGTCATTAACAAAATAAAATAAAAAGTATATGAATTTTTTTAAATGGACTTCTACATAAGCATTCACACAATTGTTATGAACCCGACTTTAAAGAATTCACACAAAAGTTTCTTAAAATATCTCACATACTTCAAATTACTTTATTAATTAAGCTTCTCAAAACACTATTTTTTAAATATTTCTCATTCAACATGGTATGAAATAAGTATTTTTAAATTTTAACATTTTACTCATTATTTCGTCATATTGAAATGTAAAAAATGGATCATTAATCAATGTAAAAAAGTTATTTTACAAAAATAAAATACTAAACTTTAGTATTATCAAATGACTTTATATTAGACCAAGTGTATAAAATAACTTTGATGAACAACATTAATAGGAATTTGGTTGGTTTATCCGTTAGGTGGCCAAAACACGGATAATTTATTTCTTCAATAGAATTTAATAAAAAATAAAAGGTATAAAAATAATTAAATAATTGATACGTAGTATAAAATATCCAAATAAGGTGGATTCTATCTCTTTTGTTTCTGAATGGCTATTAATTGATGTGGTTCCAATTTCTAAATTTAATAGCCCATGTGTATGAATGACTATTAATTGATGTGGTTCCAATTTCTAAATTTAATAACTATCCAAATTAATAAGTATTCCGTAATAAATTCTCAAAAAGTTACCAAATAAGGTGGATTTTATATCCTTTGTTTCCGTATCAATATGCAATAAAAAATAGAATGTAATAAAAATATTAAAGGTATATAACTATATAAAAAGTTACTTAAATACTACATAAAAACAAAGAGCCATTCTACATATAGTCACGAGAATGGCAAGATTAATAATTGTACTTAATTGTACGTTTCCATGCATGTGTACGTATAGTTGTACGTTTTAATTGATGTGGTATATATGATGACATGGCAAGATTGTGTGGCGCGTCGTATGCTCTTAAAAAGTTCCTCTTTTATATATATATATATATATATATATATATATATATATATATATTGATTTTAGCATAATCTCTTCATGACTTCATAGCTTTGGGCAACTCAATTTTTAGAAACAAAGACTTAATGATATCAGTTAATTTAGAATATTAACATATCCTCAATCTTGTAAATTAATAAAGAGTGTTTTTTTAATTAATAGAATCCTATAAAGGTTGGAGCAAAAAATTATTAAAGTATTAAATAATTCAATACACTAATCAACATATCTTAAAATTTAAGAATTTCAAGCATGTATATCTTTTCAATTTAAATCATTTCGAGAGTACTCCATATGTTCAATGTGAACATGATTTACTAAATGGTGCTTCTTTAATTTGTAAATACATATATACATGATACATCTCAATCCGTATAAACTAAATATGGGCTTTTATACTTAAAACACCAATGTCATTAAAAATTAAAAATACGTAGTATTAAATAGTCCTAGGAATGGACATGACTATGGAGTATCTTATACGCCGTACTAGTATTAGACGGAGCCGTGAATTGCTTTCTTAGTGAATTTGACAGCGGCATGGCATTTTTGTCCATCTAGGCTACCGTATCATATTTTAATAACAGAGTACATATCCTCATGCAGTGAAAACATTGACATAATTGAAGGATACTAACCAACATTCACAATTATAATGTTTTTAGATACTCTTTTCATGTTAGTATATGATCGTGACCCGTCCAAGCTACTTTCTTACATGCCTGTGAAGCTCGACACAGTTGACCAAGCGCTCATTAACTGTGATTCCATCCTTACCATAGCCAAGACCGGACTACTCAAAGCTCAACAACGCATGAAACTTCAATACGATAAGGGCCACCAGGGCTTGTCATTCGCCCCATTCGCCCCAGGTGATTGGGTTTGGCTTCGAATTCATCCACATCACCAATTGTCAATCATCAGACAAACTCACAAGCGTTCACCCAAGTTTTTCAGGCCCTTTCAGATAAAGGAAGCTATTGGGCCAGCAGCCAGCTGCATATTGCCAAATACTTCCTCCAACGAGCAAAATTCATGACTTCTTTCATGTCTCTTACTCAAGCTGCATAGAGGAGACACCATCGGCAATGGGAACCTTACCAGAACTGAATAACCTAGAACCCCCACTCTGCCCTCTGTCCATTTTGAAGGCTCGTCCATATCGGGGTAGTTGGGAACTCCTTGTCCATTAGGCAGGTAAGCTACTGGAAGAGGCTACATGGGAAACACTGGATTCCTGCCATGAGAATTGTCCTGATTTTGATCGTGAGGACAAGCTCGTTGTCCACGGGGGAGTAATGGTATGGGTTGGGTCGGTTTGGCAGAGTCTACCAAAGACAGTCAAAGAAGGGACCAACTTGAGTGGTCTTCAGTATTTTAATTAATTAAACCAGTTTCTTTCTTTGAGTATAATACCAGTTTATTTATTCAACTTTCCTTATACTAGTTTGGGAGCTTCTTCATTACTTCTTTCCTATTATTGTTTTAGGGTAACTAGTCTTTTACCTATTTAAGGCTTAGCGGTTGAAATAATAAGATCATCTTTGGAATATTGATTTTTATTTGGCGCACGGTGGAACCTACGAAGACTCCTTGCCAAGGGCCAGATTCGATTAATATTTCAGACACCTTGGACTAGATCCTGTGCCAAGGCCCTTAACGGCTTAACCTATTAGCTCCTTCACTTTTGCAGCTAATCATAATTTGGGTGGATATGTACCTCATGACTATAATAAATTGAGAACCTCATTACTTCAACGGGAGAAAGCACATGTGGAGATATGTTTGGGACCAATAAAAAGCACTTGGTGTGAAAAAGGTGTCAACATCATTAGTGATGGGTGGAGTGATCCACATGACCACAAAGGAGGCCTTTGAATAATATGATGGTTGTTTGCGACTCTGGATCCATGTTATTAAAGTTGTGGATTGCTTAGGTGAAGTAAAGGATAAGCATTTCATAGCTAATATATTGATAGATGGTATTAATGAAATTGGTCTATCAAAAAGTGATAAAATTATCATTGATAAAATTATCATTGGAAAAATCATTAAGGGTATGTATCTACATATTTATTGGAAGCCATATGTGATTCATATTCTTAATATTGCTTTGAAGAATATATTTGCAGCAAAAAATGTGGATACCAATGCAGAAACATATGAAAAAAGAGTGTCATTGGATTACTGAGATTCATGGAGATGCTTTGCATTTAATTTTTTTTTAATAATGAATCATTCAATAAGACTCTCTATGTTCATCCGATTTATCAATTTAAAGTTGTTTTGCTTTATTTCTATTGCTGTTATGCTTAAGAGGTCTAAATTTCATCGACATTCTTTGGAACCAATGGTGTTGAGTGACCAATGGGCAGGGTATCGTGATGATGATCAGGAAAAGCTAGACTTGTTCGTGAGAAGATCTGGGATGAAGCTTGGTGGGAGAAGGTTGATTACATATTAAAATTCATTGATCCTATCTATGAAATGATTAGGATTTGTGATACACATAAACCGTGTCTTTATTTGATTTATGAAATGTGAGACTCAATGATCGAAAGGGTGAGGAAGTTTATCTTTTAACATGAAGGAAAATCGTTTTCAGAGTATTCTACTTTTTATTATGTGGTTCATGATATATGTGATATTTTGTATTTTTTTTTGTATTAAAGCTACTACAGTGAATAATGGAGTCAATAAGAAGTTCATGGATTATTTCGACATATGGACAGTGAGCTATATGTAGAGAGGAATACATGTTTTAGAAGAATTGTTTCCTCTGAAGAGCGCACAAAAGCAAATGATGAATATGCTGATTTCTCTCTTAAGCTTGGTCAATTTAGTGATCTGGATTCTATCGCTGCAATATTTCACACCGATCCTAGAAAGTGGTATGGTTCATGTGCTCCATTACTCCTTCGCTTAAACGGAATATGCTAAATCCAAACATGGTGAAGATTTAGTGTTTATTCATAATAATCTTAATATGCTGTCAAAGGAATTCGCAGAATATAATGTCGGCGGACTGAAATGTGAGATGTTGGTGAAGATCAATTTGCAAGCTTGAAACATGTTGGAGTGCTTGAATTTGCCAATTTGTATTTGGACGAACTAGAGCTTGAACGTGTTTTCTTTAGCGATGATGTTAATGAAGTGGAAAATGAACCCACTCTAGTTTAATTTATTTTATTGACGTTGCATTTTATATCTTCTATATTCCCTCCGTTCTTAATTAATAGTCGTCTTAGGTTTATCGCGGTTTTTAAGAAGAAAATAGTAGGGGTAGTATAGAGGGTGTAAGGTAAATGAAAAAGTAGGAAAAAGAATATATTAAGAAGAGTAAAGTAATGAAAAAGTGGGAAAAGTTAAAAGGGGTAGGGGTAATAAAAGTGGGGTATACATGTAGTTTGATTGGAAAAAGTTACTAAAACGGGAAAGAGGGATAAATAAAAAAAAACATCCCAAAAAGGAATATGAGACAGTTAATAAAGAACGGAGGGAGTATATATACATATATATAAGCATGTATATAATTATATATATATATATATATATATATTAACAAAAAATCCCTAATTTTTTTTATATTTACGCGTTTCACCTAGGGGTGGTTCAGTGCCGAATATTTTCTCTTATACCTTTGTCGTACCAAAACTTTCGGTATACAAAATTTATATACCGTTACCTTACCGAAATTTCGGTATACCGCATTTCGGTATACCAAAGTTTCGGTTCGGTAACGGTACCCTATCGGTAAATTATCATGCATGTCTCGCACTACAACAAATTATCATAGACTAACGAAATATACTAAATCAGTGTTACTAGCGACATATTTAATCCATTATTAAAATGTTACAAAATACAATAAATATCTATTAATATCATAATCAATATTGAACAATAATGATGATTAGTATATTTATCCAGTTATTTTAGTAACACATTCTACTAAAATAACTTGAACGGTATAGGCATAATTAAATCAATAGTGATCTCTAACAAAAATAAATAAAATTATTCAAACAACATGGATATAAAATCATTTATTCCTAATATGATATTGTGTATTTAGACATTTTTATAATTTAAAACAAAAAATATTTGAATAAGACTTTCGGACAAAGTTGTGTGTCTTGACTCGCAGAATCCCTATGTTGATACACTCGTCACGTAAGTGTATCCCTCTTCACTCGTCAGCAATTCAGAAGCTCAGGCATCGCGACCCGCAAGCTTTTGGAACAAGATGGAATTGTTTATGGATATTAGTACAATACTCAATAGTCATTAGGGTTAGTTTGTTTGAATATTACATAGTAGAAGCCTATAAGGTTATAGTGGGTTTGGGAAATTGAGCCTTTATTTTTGTATTTTGGTATTTGTAACCAACCTAAGTACTCCCTCCGTCCCAATTTGATGATCCCATTTCTTTTGGGCTCAAATATTAAGAAAGTGGTTGAAAAGGTAAAAGTTGTGGTTGAGATTTGAGTATAAAAAGGTGAAATGATGTGGACCACATATTTCTTTCCAAAAAGGGAAATAAGACTATCAATTTGGGATGGCCAGAAAGGAAATACGGGATCATCAAATTGGGACGGAGGGAGTATTAATTTTGGGGTTCAAAATCACAATGGGCTTTTACAATATTTTAGAATTTAAAGTAATTGTTGGGTAGAGAGTGGGTACGCTATTATACCAGTATACCGCGGCATTTGAAAACATTTACCTTTACCGTATCGAAATACATCAGTACGGTATGATACCGTACCGAAAATGACAGTATACCAATATTCCGGTATTTGCCGGTATTTTTCGGCACGATAAGTGCGGTATACCGATTTTTCGGTATTCTTGCCAACCCTAGTTTCCCCCACATTTCGTTTCCTATATTTCTAAAGATGTCATTTCCCGTGTTTCCTGTTTCCCGTTTCCGTGCAACTTAGGCCCTTATTAAAGAATGAGCAACACGGTTCCTAGAACACTTACATAAAGAGACACAAAAATTATTTTGTTCCTGTAGAACTCCAATGTCATCCAAAACTAAATCTATATATGCTAGACCTCCTGAACCTTGAAGCCTCTGAACCACTAATAATACATATGTTTTTATCTCCACTTCTTGCCACCCTTCCCGAACTGCGTTGTGAATAGCTGCCTGAACCCTATAGCATCAGTCTCCATCGGGGACCATTCCGCCTGCTTATCTTCGCTTATGCCTCTTATACAATTACCCTCATTATCTCATGCTACCCAACCCCACGCACGAACCCAACCAACCTCATCTACTGTTGCATCAACATTTATTTTAATATATTCCCCGGTCTTGGTTTCTGCCACTTTGTTACACCCTTTACATATCTGGTTGTGTGCCCTTTTTGAAGACTGCTTTGAGCTTCCTACCAACCTTTCCATGTAGCATCTCCACAATTTATAACCGCTCCTCCTCCTTGATTTTCCTCCTTCCATACCACCTCATTTCTTCGTTCCAAGATGCTCCAGATAATCATTACAAACCTCCCCTTTTCCATCTCATTTGAAATCTCCATACAACTTTTAATCCATGCTTCAAAGTCATCGCTCTCTCTACAATATGCCTCAATCCCGCATAACCTACAAGTTATCGGGATATCTGCTCCCCTACATTGTAGTTTAACAGCCATGGGTAGGCAACCATTCATAATTTGCCAAAATAAATATCTGACCTTATGGGGTACCTTGAAATCCCACATGCGGGTCTAGCCACCCATGTTAAATCAATCGAACCTTTGGTCAATAAATGATAGTAGCGTCGGACCGTAAATAGTCCACTCCGTTCATCATTCCACCAAAGAGAGTCCAACCGGTTATTCATGCTTATTGGAATGCTCAAAATCTTTTTTGCATCTTCCAGGGAGAATTGTCTACTTATCCGCTCCTCATTCCATTCAGTACCATCTTCTACGTGGAGTGCAACCACATTCATATCCTTTCTGGTCTCGCCCATTGCACTTTCCCTGTACCCGCTCCAGCTCCAGGTAGCCATGCATCTGGCCATACCCGTACATTTACTCCATTTCCCATACTTCTTTGTACTTTATCCGCCAACACATGTTTCATTTAAAAAAACACTCTGCCATATGTATGAAGGGTTACTTCCCAACCGGGATCTCAATACTGAAGTATTTGGAAAGTACCGTTCCTTAAAAATTTGTGCTACCGGGCTTGACGTGTTAGACAGTAATTTTCATGCCTGCGTAGCGAGCATTACGATATTAAACTCGAACGCTTCTAAAATGCAGTCAACCGTCCTTTTTCGCTTTACAAAATCCGTTCCAAGCTCTCCATCGAATGCCTTTCTTTGCCAAAATTGCTACCTTTCCACCAGTAATTGTTCATGAGTTTCTTAATGTTTCACTGAGCTCCCTTGGTAACCGAAACACATTCATAGTATAAGTGGGCATGGCTTGAATTACATTTTTAAGGAGTATCACGCGCCCAGCTCTTGGTGGGAACCTAAGCTCTTGATCCGATTGACAATCCTTTCCCGAAAATAATTTAAAAAAATGACTTTCTTACCACCTCCAACTAGTGTTGCAATACCCAAATACAGGACATATTGGCTATCCCGCGCCACTCCAAGAGAATTACAAAAATACTGCCACTAAAAATATACATATAAAGTACATTTTATATTAATATTTTGAGTTAACCAAAAAACATAAATGATTTATCTCTATATTTTTACTGTATATATTTATAATTATCTTTAATATTTTTATTTTTAATTTATTCTATTTTTTATTTATTACTTATTTTTATGTTGAAACTTTTGTAAAGTTGTGAGAGTGAAATGAACAATTGGAACAAGAAAAAAATGAAAAGAAGAGAATCCAGCAAGGTCCAATGATACATCCAAAACTCAAAAACTTTAAAAACAAGCAAGAAAGCTGACACTTACAAGTAGCCGTGGAGGTCTCGGTTTATATTTAGAATCAGAGATAGGGTTGAGGATAACGGTGGTAAGATCAGATACAAAGTGAGCCGCTTTACTCCTTAACGACCGATTCTTCTGAGCAGGCGGATGTCTTTCTTCTTCTCCAACTTCGAAAATGTTTCCAAGTCAGTAGTTACCCAAATTACTGTTACTCTCTTTGCGATTGGATTGATTCGATTGCCATGCTTCAACACGCAATTTGACTTCCAGAATGCGCCGGCCTTTTCACTCTTTTCCTGATCGTATTATGGGTTTCTGGTCTTTTGGATTTAACATGAAAGGGCCTTTTTGGGTGAATACTGAATAGTCGAAGTTGAAAACGATGGAATGAGGGAGTGTCGGGAGTTTTTGAAATTGATTAAATTTGAGGTTTTCAAACACCTACTCCTGTTCAAATTAAGAACTTAAAATCTAAAAGCTGGAAGTTGGTATATGGGTGCTTGAACTAAGGTTGGGACCGGTTCGGTTCCTAAATGAAATTAGTGGAACCGTTACAAAAAATTGAACTAATCAAACCGGTTCGGTTCCTATCTAAAAATTCAAGAACCGTTATGGAATCGAACCAATAGTAAACGGTTCAGTTCTTACTTTTATCGGTTCCTAAACATAATTTTTTTCATACAAAAACTAACACATGCAACTTACTTTCTACACCGCAAAAACGTCAGAAATTCAAAACACAAGCAATAAGTACTTTTTGAAGCTCTTATGACTTCAAATATCAAGTCCAAGCTTAATTTACCAACACTTAATAGAATGAAAGAAGTTTTTAATTTTGTTTGTAAATAAAATATGAAAATCGTTGTCAATAAAAGTTGGATAATCATAGTAGAATAAAAGGTCTACTTCAAGTTCTTCAAAGTGTTAAAAACATATTGAATACGCAAGTACAAATATAAACATTATGACATTTCAAATTCTAGGGGCATTATTTATACTAAATCTCACATACACAATCATCTTGAATATTATAAAGAAAAAATATATCGAACCAACACAAATTTATTAGGGTTACTTTTATAATTATGAAATTTTAGTTATGGAACTAAATATGATTTGCAACAAAATGAGGTTAATGTATTCATCCTCATCTGTTTCCATAAATTAAATTTGAATTGTTCTTTGACTAAAAATATCATCGATTATATTATTATTACTACTACTATTATTATTATTATTCTATATTATAGCTATTGTTGATGTTTTTTTTGCA